CACTTCAGCTCTTGAAGCTAACCCATTCTGCTGGAGGACTGCCCAGTCTTTCTTTGGCTTGCCTGTTTCTCTGGATTCCTGCCACATAAGAGATGTTAGCTACTTTGGTTGTGTTTTAGAAACGTGGAAACATGGAAAATGTGGTTCATGTAAGCTTATGATAATGGATTGCTGGACTCCTCCAGCTGATGTTGTCTTTCGCATTCTGCATTTCATGCTCAAGAATTCCCCTTGTGTAAACCTCACCCCTGTTGTTTGTTTGCAAAGAGAAGTCCTTTGGAGAGGGGACAGGATTTGTCAAGAGTAGGAAGGGAAAAGGGCTTGCTGTGTAAGATGTGACATACTCTGTACCTCACTGGAGTGGACCTCTTAAGCAGGATCGTGTTTTGCTGCTCTCTGATGTCCTCTTTGCTGTACTGATGTTTGTTAATGCTTAATCACCAGTCTGCACTGCTTGAGTTATCTTGTGCCTTGTTGAGGTCCACTATCATCCTGCAGCCCACAGCAGCCTTGTTTTTGTAACATCAGGGAGAGAAGAAAGCTGTCTAACAGAAGCTTTCAAACAGACAGCCACCACACCTTTTTGTTGGTAAAGATAACAGGTGTGCAAAAAGTTATTTATTTAGTAAAATATCATATATCCCTCTCCCTATTTAGATATGAATTCATATATCCCTTCAAAATTAGAGACTGGCGGTGCAGATATTGAAGTGCACCATTTTGTTGTGAGGCCCTCAGGCATATGGCAAGTTTCTCTCCATATTCAGGGCATGGGCTCCTCATATCCCTGAGGCTTACCTGCGTAAGTATGGTTGTGCTAAGGTAATGTATGGCTTCAGAGCTTCCTTTTCCTTTCTTTGGGTGTGACTTCCTGCCAAAGGTATGGCAATATCTTGTCATCAGACTGGTTCCAGGAAAAGAAGGTTGGCTTAAGAGTTACAGACCTGGCTCATTAGACAGTTCATTTTGTATTTGGCCCTCACCTACTTCAAGTGCTTCAGCCATTTTTTGTTTGTAAGTCAGCGTCAAACTTCTCAAGCAGATCTTAAAAGATGAACACAAGGAAGAGTGGTGATGTGCACATCTCCTATCCCATGCTCTGGCCCTAATTGCTCTAAAGAATGACATACTTTGTCAAGTCCCGTTTGTAAGTACTCTCTTGATTCAGTCTATTTTCCACCATAGGAAAGGGAAGGTGAACCACTTGATTTGCATAGCTCTTGGAGGCAAAAATTTTCAGAAAAATTAGGGTCTTGACATGGTGATTTTTATATGCATGTGGATGTCTTGTCACCCCATGGTCATTCTACAGAGCCTGAATGGCTAGGTAATGCCTATGTGCACAGAGTGTATGAAGTGCTTTTGGTTTCTGATAAGATGAAACGCCCTTAAAATAGACCCTGGTCCCACAGATATCAAGAGCAAAGTTCCCAGTGACACCTATGGTGTCGGAGTATTACAAAATTTGACCTCCTAGAAATGACTGAAGTCTGGACAGGACAAGTTTTTCTAGACTGCTAATAGTTTTCTCTACAGGAGAATCTTTTTTCTTAGCCTTGTGTGCTGTGAAAACACCTGCTTTAGAAATGGTCTTCCCATGGTGAGCAGGTCAAGAATGAATCATAACTACACATTTGATAAGAGAATCTACAGCTTTATGGGATGAGACCATAATGCTCTTCTTTGGGCATCATGGGGTCTCATGGAAAAATCCTGAAGCATCCCTCTGAAAAGATTAGGGAGAAATCCAATTCCAGATCTGGGATTCAGCTACCCTGCTGTTTTTCCAGATCTGGGATTTAGCTACTCTGCTGTTTTTCCATGGTTCAAATTTCAAGTCTAATTGGCATCCAAATAGAGGCAAACCATCATTATTTCCCTATAGAAAATCTGAAATTGCAGGCTGGCATTTCCCTGACCTCTGAGTTGTTCCTGGTGCTGTGTTTTGTGGCATCAGCCCATCTCGCCAGCAGCATTAGGTCAAAGGATACCCAGAGGCCTCCCTGTCAATGTCAAAGGAGTTGTGCTTTCTTCCCAGACATACCATTCCTGCTAAGCTCTGAAATGAAGTTGGCCCGGGAGAATTGCTCAGACGTGCAGGTCATGGGCAGGCCAAAGCATGTAATCTTGAGTGAGTCAGCCTCAGAACCTCTGCGAGACTGACATTTGAGGATGGAGAGGAAAGCAGGCCATCAGTGCGGGTGTCAGTAACACTTGTGTGTGTGCACATCTAAGCAAATCTGTGGGTGAAATTCTTGGTGCTGGGTGAGAAATGTACCGCTGTGCTTGGCAGGCAACAGAAGTAGGTGGACTGGTCCTCAGAGTGGGAGGAAAGGGTAAAGGCAAGTTCACACTTGAAAAGTGCCATCACAGGGACTGGAATGGATTTCATACGATTCCATTGATTTCTGAGCTATGCAGCCATGGTGACTGTAGCCATATTTAACCCAAGGTTTTCCTCTTCCTCTAGGAGAGAAGAGGGGTGGAAAAGAACCATAGCTAGCTTTGGAGCTGTGCTGTGGCTGACGTTCAGCTGGTGGCCTCTGCACCAAGTTTCTCACTGAAGTATGACTGGCAGGTGCTTGATAACCACTGCCCAGTGCTGCATGGGATTTGCTTGTGTGAGTGAGGGAAAATGGTTCACTCTGGGCCATGCAGGGTAGCACCAACAGGAATTATAGGAAAAGTTGTACACAAGAAGGAAACAGAACCAAAATTGGCTGCCTAAATCTAAAAAAAAGTATATTTCTTAGGAAATACATTAGTAGCAGTTAACAACAGGATCAAGATTAGTCTTATGGACAAAGGGCGGTAATGGGACAGTTTCTACTACAAATCTCACTGCAGCTGTTGCACAGATTGAAAGAGACCTTCACCATTCATTCCTGGGAAGGAGAACATGGAGTCCTGCTTCTTGTCTTGATTATAGCAGTGTGAATCAGAAGCGAGTTTGTTGAAGTCAGTGCAGTTTTCTTGACATAGTAAAACAGAGGATGAAAACACATAAATCCATCAGCCAGGAAAAGAAGATGAACATAAGCTAAAATGACTGACACTAGAGGCAGTAAGAATTCCCTCCCACAGCACTATTCAGCTGACCTTAACTTTTACAGGTGGACTGGTCCTCAGAGTGGGAGGAAAGGGTAAAGACAAGTTCAGACTTGAAAAGTGCCACCACAGGGACTGGACTAGATTTCATGATTTACAGAGAATCACTGTGTGAGCTTTCTAGCTGGTCATATTGGTTATTTTTTTTCCCACTGTTGTGCATGGCAAGGCTGGCTGGACAGTGCAGCCCAGAGCAGAGCAATGTTTTCACAGAGCACCCAGGAGTGAGCCCAGGACAGCAAACACCTCTGATTCTGCTTCCATGCACAACATACTATGCCTACTGCAAAGAGAGGGTTTGGGATGCTTGTAGGATCTTTCTGATACGTATGAAAAAGGTGATATCCTCTCCACCACAAAATATATGCTGTCCTAGCCTGTAGCTTTGCCTAGTTTCCCATTAGCTGGGAGACTTGCATGTAAGGTGTCTGCTTTTAATTCCTTGCCTGCAGGAGGAGTTGGTGAAGGGGCTTGAAGGACATGCAAAGATACAGAAATCCCTACTTGCTCTCCATTTCTAGTCTCCACTTCCTCCTCTTGTCAGATTAGGAAATGTCTATTTCAGGTATATTTTCCAGTTTTAATGGAGAATATCTGATAGTATTTTCTCACTGACTGCATTCATTTTAGAAAGCAATCTTATAATTTTGTCATTCACTGTGGCCTTCTGTTCCCTCTAGTGGTAGCTGGGCTCTGTGTAAGCCATAGCTATATAGGGAGTTTGTTTTGGGTCTGAGCCTTCTTTCAAGATCTAGTTTACCCTCAATCTTCATTGTTCACCACAGATATTCACTAGGAGGGCTAGAAGACATATAATCCAAGCTCTGGAGTTTGGATATAGTCCTCCTGCAGGCCTGAAGTTCTCAGGACCTGGTGTGTCAAGCACCAATCCACCAGCGGGTGTCCCAGAAACCCGTTGGTTTCTCAGCATAGTAGTCATAGGATCTCTCATACCTGGACTTGTATCATCTGAAGGGCCGTATGGATGCTCAGCCACAAGCATAATACTGCCAAACAAAAAGTGCAATGTACAACAGAAAAGCACGTGGATCATGGGATTGGGTGTGCTTGAGCCATGATCTTCACCTCACCACATGGATATGCTCCTTTCAGGGGTTGAGGAGCCTGCTGTTGCCTTGGTGACTGGAGCTGGCGCTATTAGTACAACCAGGAGAGCCTAATCCAGCATAGCCCAGAGGATTAAAAATGAGTTCTTGCAGCACAGCACAAGAAGGGGTGATTTCAAGGATGACGTGAGACAGATATCGTATTTTGTGTCATGTTTAGCCAACACAGGGGTACTGGGTTGAGACAGTTGTCTCCTTATCATTCCCCTGCACTACAAGGAGAGCATTATCTTTCTCATGTTTCAGAAGTCCTTTGCCTTTGAAAGGCAAGAACTTCACTAGGGACTCCCTGTTCTCTATTAGCAGTACCATCAACAGACGGTAGTTTCTCCAGCTCTTGCAATGGAAATGAAACTTCTGTCTAAAGGAAAAGCAGTAATAATGTTGTATTAGTCCATGACAAAAGCACAGGAGTATGTGCTAGCACCATCTAGCCAGCATCCCCATCATTGCAGCACTAGCTACCTCTTCCTCCACTTTTTTCCGTCTTCGAGCTCTGTGCAAGTAGTTGTCCTCTGTTTTCAGCTACAACTCTTATTTATTGCCTTGAATCCTTTGTCCTTCAGCTTTGTTGCACTTGCCTCTCCCCCATTCCTCATCATCTTTCATGAAGAGGCTGCTAACTTGCAGGCAAAGCCATTTGCTATGTCCCAGTACTTGGGAGTGAGGAGGAGATGTTCTTGTGGCATCCCAAACCTCAGACCCTATGACAAGGGTGAAGCCAGAGTATTCCTGCATTCTGCTATGGTATGTGCCTGAAATAATGTAAAAATTACTACAGGACATGCACTGAAGCAGCTACTGGAGAAGATCTACCTTGACACAAGGCACAGTCCATCAGCCCTAAAAGCAGGGAGCTGTGAAGTCCCCTTTGCTACCTGCTGTCTCGAGGTGTGGTAGCCCCAGGTATGGGTCAGCTGGACCCAGCTGTCTCATTTCAAGACCAAAGCAGCAGGGGAAGGGCCAGATGATCAGCAATTAATTACCTGAGGCAAGTAATCCCCATAGATGAGGCAGTGCTGTGGGGCCAGCCGTCCTTGCACACTATATAAGCAGTGCTTTGTTTCATGCCATGGAGCCTGTCCTGGCAGCCCAGTCTGTCTTGAAGCTCATCTCCTGACCTCCTTTTTCGGGGTATGCTGTGGCTCGGTGGTGACATGGAGGAAGTACAGCAGCGTGTGAGTGAGGGCAGGATATCCCTGCAAGCCCTCAGTCCTCGTCCCCAGCATGTGAAGGTCGCTGGCTCCTGGGTAAATTTCCATCGGATGCGGCATTCTCCCGTTGCGACTCAGCATTTCCGACACCCGACTGCAGCTTCTCTTTCTCATTTGATCATTTTCTTGGTAAGGGGAACTAACAGCCGTTACTAGAGTGATTTGGCCACTGTCCAACAGTGTGTATATTACTCACACATTTCCCTGCTAGCAAAAGGGTTTTCTTTTTTCACTGTCTGGTTGCAGCCTCTTTCTATCTTCATCATTAGATAGCTCAGAAGGTCAGTGCTAAAAGAGAAATCTCAGAGGCTTTTTTTACAACCCAGAGTAAGGGAGGGCTGGTGCGGGGGGAGAGGGAAAGGGTGAGAAGGAAGGGAGGGTATGCCCAGCTGAGTGAGTTCTTCACTAGGATTGTCTCTGGTACAGCTGAAAACACGATCTTGGAAAATGTAATATTTATAGAAACCGTACTGCCCCAGCTGGGTAAATCTCAAGGTCGTCTGATGATCACTGCAAAATGAATGGCCAGTTACTGCTGCTGTTGCTCTGGCATCATGAGACTGTAAGACCTTCAATTCAACACTGAAATCTGCATACAAAATGGGATCCTACTCCCTCTCCCTAACAACCATCTATCCTGAAACTGCATTAAGGAAGAAATAGCAGTGAGGCAACTCAAAATGCCTGCATGGCCCTTTTTTTTTTTTTCCTGTGAGAACATTAAGCTATTAACTTTAATTCCCTGGGAGGCAGAGGTCTGCAATTCATTTCACATATAGGGCATCTCAGGAGTTTGCCTGAACAAGCAAAGGACCAAGTGCTGGCCTGAAGCCAGTTCTTTCATTTTTGAGCCCTTTTCATCCCTTGAGGAAATTCTGCACAGACGTGCTGGATGCCAAAGTCCCCAGAGAGAAAAGAGGAGCAGGGGATTTGTATTTTCATTACATCTGTTATATTCCTGCACAAAGACAAGTTCTGACTTCATCACCAGATGGACATGATCCTCCTACTGCCTCACGCCCGCAGAAGTACTACTGTCAAAGAAATTTGTGGTAATGGGGAAAGGCTGGAGCAAGGTCATGACTGCAGCTATTTCACTCTGGTCCAAACAACTGTCCAGGTCTAAAGAGTGAGAGGTCTCCACTGGAGAGAGTGGAGTCAAGGAGACACTGTACTGAGGCAGGTACCGGCTTCTGAAAGTTTAAAAGGCTCTCTCCTTCCCAAATATTGAAGACAAACTAAATGTAACCTCCAGACCATCTTCCTGAACTGCCTTTCCTAAGCGCAGAGCAACATCTTCCCTAATTTTTTCTGTTTCTGACGTATTTTGTCCAGCGAGGGTGCTGGGAAGAGCCTTTACATTTTGTGTATGGGGCTAACAGTGTAAATTAGGCTAAATATTCATGTCATCAAACATTTATTCAGCTGTGAACCAAAATACTTGATTGCAGTAGCAGTACTTTAACCAAAGCAGTGCAATGCAAAGCAGTAATAAAAAAAGAAAAAAGGCAGTGCCACAATGATCTGTAATGAATGTAAGGATAATAACGTGGCAACTGCAACAGGAGTCATGCAAAGCGTACAGCAAAGGTGCACACTCACAAGACCACACCCCATGAAAGGGACATCTTTGCTGTTGCATGACCTTGGGTCAGATTAAGGTAGGCCAAACAAATACATGTGCCAAGATGTACTGGAGCGTGTTCTTTGAAAAGTGTGCTCACTCGGGTGAGGTTGTAGGAATTCTGCAAGCACCTCCCAGGTCCTCAGCCCCACAGTACCTCAGGGATCCATTTTCTCCCGGGGAACTGGAATATGGTCTGCTTGTCTCCGTAGAAATACTAGAAATAGTGCCTGCCCATTAGACTGCATTGCAGGTGGGTTCAAATCTGGTATATACTCTCCTAGTGAGGGATCCTTTCTGATGTAGAGGTCATGAGTAGGTAGCTGACCAGGAACATGCAGCCCAAGGGAAGTAGCAGGAAAGCACTGGAAGACTAACACAGTTTTGAACGCAGTGGCTAACAACCTGAACCTGAGCCAAGTTGGATGGCTCATTAAACTCAGGTGACAGGTTTTTGTGGGTCAAGGGGAAATGGGTAAGGAAAAATGCTGTGGAAAAGCTTAGCTTAATGCTGCAGCTGAAGGTGAAGACTGAATGTGAACATGCAGCATTTCACATAAAGCTGTACAAATATGAAAGGGAGATATAGGGAAGACAGTTTGAAGCATTTGACCTCCAGATTCCAAGATCAAACCTCCCTGCTCTAGGAAGCAAAAATTATATATGGGTTTAAAGGTGGGTGCCATGGGAAAAACAGTGGTTGCTTGCCTCTCTGAAGAGCAGAGGCTCTGAAGGATATGAATTCCTAGCCTAGGATGGTCTATCTTGCCAGGACTTGTGTGAAATTGAATCCACTCTAGAGGATTCATACCAGAAAGGCAGCAGCTAATACACATGACATTCTCAAGGATTAGAAGGATGATTTTTCATGGGCCAGATTACTTTAGAGACATTGGCACTGCCATATCAAGGTGAATCCTGTATCCATCTGGGGTGCAAATGACAAATATGAAAGCACCACTGGGGTATGAAATGTAGAGACATCTGACTTTCATGAGATGAGATGCTTGAATGGATCAGTGGGAGAGAAGCCTTTATGCACACTATTTGTCTTGATGAACTTTGAAAATTTAGGGCACAGAATGTTTCTCTGTCTTGTGTTCAACATTGTCTTAGCCATATACTGGAGAATGTAAGGTTGGCTTTTACTTAGTGAGGCCCAGCTCAAAGAGGCAAAATATGCATGATACATCCAAAGTAAGGCTCCTTTACCAACTCTACACTATTTCTAGACAGAGGTTTTAACTTTTCTTTGAATGCTTTCAAAAGGAAAACATCTTGCCCTGATCTGCCTTGATGACTAATGAAACGCTGAGACATTTGGTGTCTTCAGGTGGCCTCACAGAGGTGTCTGGTAAACAAGAAAGACAAAGCTGTAGCTCAAACATTGTGGAAGCCTTTGTCTGCCTTTTTTTTAATTTATTTATTAATACTTGCTGTGGAAGGAGAACTGTAATGTAGTCATTAAATCATTATTATGCTTATGCCCCAACACATGTAATGGAAGCATTAGCAAAATTCTCTTCTTAGGTCTTGTCCCTTGTGTGTAGCACCAACTCCATATTAATTTTCTCCTACTGAATGTGGGAGCAAGAATAAGTTCATACATTTTTAACAGTGGGACAACTGTACCCAACAGTGCCAAGGGGGCCCTACAGAGAGTGTACAGGTTAGGGGCATGTCAGGTAAGAGGAATGTAATCTATTCATTCACTCCCTCTAACACTGTTTTGTGCCTTTTAAATTATAAAAAGTCACAAGAATCTCCTCCTGCTATGCACATTTTTGAAAGACCTCCAAGCAGAATGACCTCCTTCTCTGTTCCCTTGGTGAGAGGACACCTTTCTGCCTACAGTGAAAGGAAGCAAATAATAGCATCTGCTAGTCCAGGGGGCATCTTTCAGCTGTGGAAGCGTACAGGTTTTGCCTGGTATTTTCCCTCTTCCTAAAGCACATGTTAATGATTTTGACCTTTCTAGTAATTTGATTCCAAAAACAGTGTCACAGCAGCTGAGCCCTAAGCTGTCATTTGGTAGAGAAGATTATTATCACTCTGAAATCAAAGCAAAAGGCTGCTTGTTCAAGCCTGTGTGGAGATCCCCTCATGTATGGAGATCCTCCTCTCTCATCTTTCTGTGTCCTCAGCTCTGGGCCTGCTGTCAAGGAGTTCCAGTCTGGTTGGCCAATGTAAGGATAAATATGCTGCCAATTCTTTCCATCTGTGTAGTATACAAAAGCTCTATGAGAGTCAAGCTGGTTGAATATGGGATAATACCAAAGGAATCCTTGTACGCAGGTACCTAAGATGTGCTGGGTGTGGGAGGGTGTATAAACACTTGTTTGTGCAATAATTGAAATAGGCTATTTGCAGGTAGACCAGAAAGTGCTCTGCTTGCCTTAAGCAGATACCGGCTCGTGCAAAAGTTCTCCTTCCAGATCTGTGTTCCCTTGGCTCCTCCCACAGTGTGAATAATCCCTAACATTTCTGTGACTCAGTGGATTCGCTATGGAAATGATGGCAATATTTTCAGAGTCACAGTCTAATACCTGAGCCCCGACAGGATTCTTGCCCCCACATCTCTGGCATTTTGCATAGTTATGTAATGCCTCTTACTCATGACACCAAAATCACTGTAGTGTCCTTGTAGTGAGGAACTAGTGAAATTTGGAGTAAAATCCAAACCTCCTTTTTGCTCCCTCTTAAAAACCTTTTCATTCATGTTGGAGTTTGCAGCATTTTTTAAAATGTGATTTGCAGATAGCTTGTTCTGTTGGTGGGAACAACAAGGTCACAGCTTTATTTTAAACTTCTTCCTTTTGCATTGCAAAATCCAAGTCACTGTGTAGAAAGAAAATCTGATTAGCTGCTTCAGGAGACTAACATGAGCATCTGCTTTCAGCTTGTCTGTTTCATCCCCTCTTCTCCTGGTCCCCTACCTCCTGTTCCCCAAATTCTTTAAAAGAACAGTAGTTGGAAGAGTGGGTGTGTAAAAAAAGAGAAAGAAGTAATCTCATCCATACAACCCGCTAAGCCCGTGGCTGTGTTTCTTATATCACCTAAATATAAACCTGCTGTCCTCAGAAAACTGATAATAAAAATCATTTGGGAGGCTCACTCTTCAGTACAGAACAATGTCTGTCCTCAATGCAGTTTCTGGTTGCTCCTTTATGAAAGGTGTCCTTTCTGATGTGCATAATAGAGGGGGTTCTCTCAGGTTAGGTGGAGCAGCATTAACAGCCATGTGCAGAGGCCACAGAGCCTTGTCATGAGGCAGCTGCAGTGGGGAATGGTCACAAGAGAACTATCCAGGTATTTTTGTATCAGAGAGGTATTTTTCCTGGCTAGCTTAAAGGTAGGGGTAAATCACCTTGCAGTGAGTTCACATTTATGAATACAAACAAGATTTTAAAAAGGTAGGCATGCATGTCTTCTATGTCTGCACCATCTGGCTTCTCTGAGCCATAATCACCTTTTCTGAGAAGTTGTATCAGCCACTGCTGCTGTC